AATATATCGTCACACTTTTAGGAGCTTATGAGCAGAATAATACTAGTATGCTTCAGATTCTTAAGTCAAGTGATAGCTCAAAGAAAATAGGTGGTTCTGTTGTAGGTCATAAATATATACAGAGAGATAGAAGGCAGGGTCATGACAGATTGTTTGCAGATTATTTTGCTGCAAATCCAGTGTATTCACCTACAATATTTCGGAGACATTTTCGAATGCATCATCCTTTGTATCTACGCATTTTGAATGCAATCCAAGCACACAATTCATATTTTGTTCAAAAATAAGATACAGCTTATGTACTTGGATTATCTCCCCTACAAAAAATGACTTCAGCGATGAGAATATTATCATATGGTGTCGCAGCAGATGCAGTTGATGATTACATTCGTATTGGGGAAAGCACTGTAATTCAAAGTTTGTAACAATTTTGTAATTCAGTGATTGGAATTTTTTGAGAAGAATATCTGAGATCTCCGACGCCAACTGACATTGCTAGATTACTTGCTATTGGGGAGGTTCGGGGGTTTCCTGGCATGTTGGGAAGTTTAGATTGCATGTATTGGGAGTGGAAAAATTGTCCAAAGGCATGGCAAGGTCAATATGTAGGCCATCAAAAAAAGCCAACCACTATTCTTGAAGCAGTAGCATCTTATGACTTATGGATTTGGCATTCATTTTTTGGAATGCCTGGCTCACACAATGACTTGAATGTGTTGGACCGATCGCCTTTGTTTTCTGATCTTGCGCAAGGTAAAGCTCCTCCTACCCATTACACAATTAATGGACATAGTTACGATATGGGTTATTACGTTGCTGATGGTATATACCGTCAATGGGCAACATTGGTTCAAACAATTTTTTCTCTCCAAGGAGCAAAGAGACAACATTTTGCAATGATGCAAGAGTCTGCCAGGAAATATGTAGAGCGGGCATTCGGAGCCCTTCAATCTCAATTCGCAATTATTGGGATTCGAAAATGCTTGCCAACATAATGAAGAGTAGCATCATATTACATAATATGATTGTCGAAGATGAGAGGGAGGAGCACCTTGATTTCAATTATGATATTTCATCAACCAACACACCAGTGCAACATTCCTCTACTCCTACCAATGACTTCCAATCATTTTTGTTTCGTCATTTAGGTATTAGAGATAAGGATGCATATCATGCCCTCCGTAATGATTTAGTAGAACATATGTGGCATCTTCATGGTGAACACTAAATTCACCACATCAATACATGTAATTTTGTTTTTAGTTTTGGAATGGAAGATTCTCTTGTTTGTAATCTTCATTATGATGCACTATATTAACTAAGTAATTCAGAAGTTATGTGATGATGTGCTGTTCATTTTTGTCTCGTCATTTAGGTATTAGAGATAAGGATGCATATCATGCCCTCTGTAATGATTTAGTAGAACATATGTGGCATCTTTATGGTGAACACTAAATTCACCACATCAATACATGTAATTTTGTTTTTAGTTTTGGAATGGAAGATTGTCTTGTTTGTAATCTTCATTATGATGCACTATATTAACTAAGTAATTCAGAAGTTATGTGATGATGTGCTGTTGTAATATTCAATCTTTAATATTTAGAATTGTGCAGCGTTCAGTTCATGACAATTACAAATGATAATATACATAACTTAATCAGTTACAAATGATAATTTCACATAAAATTAATATGATTTTCTTAAATTCTGTGTTGATGTGCCACAAATGATAATACCACATCCATTTATGCACATTTCATAATCATGTCTTAAATGATAATTTAATAATAATATATTAAATTACTGATGTTCATGTGCATAATCATAATGTCTTCAATTACTGATGGAAGTGCATAATCATAATGTCTTCTTTTACTGATGTTGATCTGCATAATCATAATTTAATAATAATGTCTTAAATTAGTATTCTTAATTCAAGGTCAATTCTTAAATTACTGCATAATCATTATTTTTGCATATATAAATTTACACAAATTTATTGATGTGGCATTGATTTACTGATGTTGATCTTGCCATTCATTTATTACCTCACTTAAAATGCATTCAACATACATAGTTAAAAAATACATAATAAGCCATTTATTTAGTCAGTAGATAAATGCATTCCACCTACAAATCATAATGTCTTCAATTATTTATGCACACACTGCATACATTTGAACCACCTACCATTCATTTTACACACACCATCTACCATTCATTGAATGCATTTCATCTACCATGCCTCATTTTACACACTGCATACGGTTGTTGAGTATTAATTTCCTCACCACCTACCTCAAGAATGGAGCCTCTATATCAGCTCAAAATTATATACAAACCTGCCATCAAAAAATTAACAACCTTCACTGAATACCTCTGCCCACAGATTGCTTGTCTGTCCACAGATTGCCTCTAAGAACACAGTCAGTGTATTCCCTCCACCACTACCTTCAAATTCGGCTTAACCAAAATCTAATCCCAAACTCTGCATATTCAGTGTAGTGTAAGTGTGAATCCATAGACTGAGCAAGGGAAACCATTTGAATCAAGAAAGGCAGGAACAGAAACAAGAAGGCAGCATCCAAGAGGTAGTATGTTGCATGGTGAAATGGCACGGTCAACCGGGTGGTCAACGGGCCCTGTTTTTTTTTTTTTTTTTTTTTTTCCAGTGTGTATGCTTGTATTTGTCCAATTTTATTGTTTATTTTGTTCAAGTTTAACTTTCTCAAGAGCATGAAATTCATGTTTGAATCAAACTTTTATGTTCAAATATTTTAAACATAAAATTGTTCAATATTTTAAAAATTAACGAGAACTGTATGTTCAATTACTGATGTTCGTTCAACTTTAACTTTCTCAATATTTTAATTCAAACTTTCGTGTGGACTTGACATATGATTGATTTTAGGATTATTCATACAGAACTGTAATTCATACAGAATAGAGAATATGTTGAAAGTCAACATAGAATATGAAAATGAACTCCCTATTGATTTTATGGCAACACAGAACTGTAATACAGCAAATGAATAGCAAATGAATAGAGAATGTGCTGTATGAATTTTCAACTCCCTATTGACATTCATAGCATATTAAGGCAACACATTCATACAGAATTGTATTTCATACAGCATATTCACTATTGACTTTTAGGGTAATTAAAATAACATGTAATTAGTATGCATACTGAAATATGGTAATGTTTTTCCATTTTAATATGCATTGTAATATTAAAACTATATTAATTTGAAATTCAACAGATTTTGACATTATGCCTAGAACTATAAGAGTGAGAGCACAAGTTGGTGAAAGTTCCAACCCTCCACGATGCGAAGAACAACAGCCTCAAATTCAGTCATAACTTACTGATGATTTTCTCAGTGAAAGTCATGCACTAGCCTTTCCAAACTTCTCTAGCTGACCGATTGTAATAGGGAGGAGGGTAAATCTTCCATCTCAATATGATGCACTATTAATTAGTAAACTTGAAGCAATGGGATGGCTAAACTTAATTAATTTGCCCCAAAAGGTATATCTATGGCTGGTATCTCTATTTTATGTTCACCTAAGAGGTACTCAGGAAGAAGATGGAAATTTTACTCTTTTGTCATATGTGAAAGGAAAGGGTATACAGTTTGATATTCCTACTTTGGCAAGCATTATTGGAGTTGAGTTAGGTGATGAAAATATTCATTTTCAGACTGGGGCTGAGTTAGCTAATATCGTTGGTAATGCTACTGATGTCTATACTACTATTTGTCGGAATAGATTTACTGAGACTAGTTTACAAGCAAGACATTTAAAACCTTATCTTCGGATTCTCCACCGGCGGATTGTAGAAAATGTCACTCCAAAAAAAGGACATCATGATGCAGTCCCATATTTTAATGCCTATTTGTTATACTATTTTGAAGTTGGTCAGAAGTTAGATTTGTGTTACATAATTATGAAAGAAATGATACTGGCAAATCAAGGTCAATTCACGGGTCGGTCATTACTGTTTGGGGCACTCTTAACAAAAATTTTCAAACATTTTAAGGTTCACCTTGTAGATAAAATGGATATCAAAATCCGTTCACCAATTAATCAGTATACAGTGACCCGTGCTGGTGCAGCCTCCAATTTAATGAGAAGTGTTAATGCTCCAAAAGATTTAGAAGATGAAGTCCCAGAAGATGATGCTCCAGAAAATCCTCATGCCAATATGATGCCATCAATTGAACAACCTCAATATTGGACTGAGTTTTTGGCCATGGAAGAACAACGTTATAATCAACGCGTTCAATGGAAACATCAAATGGCTAATCAGGTCAATTCGTTGGGTACTCAGTTTGATACATTTGCCACTGCACAGAACTTATTAATGCAACAATTTGGTGATTTCCGTGTGGACATTGAGCATCACGTAGATACGATTGAGCATCGTGTAAATGACATATACCATCATTATTACCCTTCTCCACCACCACCAGATAATGACTGTTGATGTGTTTCACATCATGTATTTGTATTGTTTTGTATTTTGTTATTTTAACAACCTTTTGTTGGGTCAATTTGTTAAAGAGGACGACATTAATTAAAACCTATTCAGTTATGACTATTGGCCTATGCAGTTATTATCCCTTTATATTGTAGTTTTTCATTTTAATGCCTAGTTGACAAAGGACATGATTATGTACATCCTGAAAATGCTACAAAAAGGTCATTATCCAGTTATGATTCCTCTGGTACAAATCATGTTATAGTAGTCAATGACTTCACTTTAAATATCATTTTAAAGAAGATGAGGTTAATTAAAAAAAAAACACATTGAACTACAGGCCAAAGATCTCCCTATGCAAAAAACATGGCAACAATTAGATATTGAACTTGAAATATGGCAAAAATACATATCGGGGGAAATTCATAAAACCAATAAAACTAACCAATACAAGTTAGACGTAATATTTTTAAATAATAAAATCAATAGATGAAACCTACAAATACAAAACCTTTCAAGGCAATCTATTAGTTGATCGAAATAAAATCTGTCGTTGAAGATCTTCGTAGTACGCCCTTTGTATGGGATTTAAAATTGTCATGTCCATTGACATAATTTTATGATTTTCATTTCGTTGTTCTCTTTCATTCATCATAGATAGGAGTTTTAGTTGTTCCTTCCTATCTTCGGTCTTTCTTCGACGCTCTGCAGCCTTCTGCTCACGATCTATCGCCTTTTGTTCATCTCGCTGAATAGTTCTAGCGGAGATAGTTGATAACACTTCAACAATTTTGGATTGGTTGGCAGCCATTTCATCAAATCTACTATCGTGCGTTGTTTGATTCTTCAACTTCTGTTTCGTTGCCTTAGTACCAATTGGTCGTGTTGATGTATTAGATGGTTGTTCGTGCACCGCATTATTCTGGTTGGATTGAGAAGCCTCATATTCACTTGGTGGATTCGAACATGGATTAGCATGTTGCGTGCTTTTTTTTTGTCGAAATTCATCCCACTTACAACTTTGGCACAAAATCTCCCAACATGTATCAAATGTGAAGTGTTTTTTCTGTATTGCATGATACATCTGCTTCGCTTCAGTGACCTATAAAAAAAAATTACAAAGATTTCAATAACAAGTATACATTTAAAAAAGAAAATTGATATTTAATAACACAAATAAATTTTACCATATTTGCCTCAGTTGTTCCACTTTGTTGCCTCAGTTGAATTTGTTCAAGAAAACCACAAAATTTATGAATTGCCTTTTGCATGGCAGACCAACGGTGAGTCAAAAAAATACGATTTCGATTTGATTCACTGCTCAATTGTGAATTAAAATAAACAAGTACTCGTCTCCAAAATATAGCCATAGTTTGACTATTACCAATAATGGGATCTTGAGAGACTGCTAACCAAGATCTACATAAAGTTTCATCTTTTATAATTGTGAATGCTTTACCACGAGAAACATGAGAAGTTTCTAAAATAAAATGATTATCATTGTTCTGCGTGTTCTGTTCCCGTGAAGATTCCGAAATAAAATTAATATGAGTGTTGTGCTCAAACATTTGTGATTCCTCAAACATTTCGAAATCTTCCGTAGTTTAGAAAAAATACAATACACTTACTGAAAAATATTGTAATGATATAAAGCTCAAACTCAGAATCAGATAATTTAATCAGATAATATTAATTAAAATTTCAAGGGAAACAAATATCTAATGACACAAAAGAAAAAAAATTCACAACATATAAATGATATTCTGAAAATGAAATACTCTGTCAGCTTGATATAGAAATCAGATCTATTTTATAGAGCACATCATCAACGCTAAATTTTCAAAATACTCTGTTCATCCAACGGTAAATTATTGTAACGGCTAGTTGTGAAATATGTATGTCAAATATATAGGGAATTTAAATTTATATCACCCTTCAAATTATTCATAATCCACAAATTAACCTATGTCCAAGTAAACCAGCTCAAACAAGTTGAAACCAACCAGTTCAAACCTGTTCTTGCTAGTTGTGCACTATAGCCGAATTGCCCAACCCGGTCAACCGGTTGGTCAGCCGGCCGGTCAACCGGGTGGTTAACCGGTTGCTCTCCAACGGTCACGCGAGGCAGCAGTTCAAACCAACCAGTTCAAACCAACCAGCTGAGGATTCAAACGAACCAGTGGCTTAAATGGTGCACCGGTCGACCGGTTGGTCAACCGGCCGGGCAACCGGCTGGTTGACCGGTTCCTCCCTCCAACGGTCACACATAGTGTTTTGGTGAAATCTGTATGTTGTCCTCAGTTTGATGAATTGTTTGGTGAAATCTCAATTTGATATCGATTTGGTGCAACCGTTGGAGCACCAAACAGTAGCTTTTTCATCAAAATTTAAATTTGATGTCAACTTTGGTGAACCGTTGGAGATGGTCTTAGGTTAGGTGCAGAGTAGAGGCCACAGCACCAGGTGTTAAACTTCGTCTTAGGGATCATTGGGCAATTGAATGTTGTAGTTTCAACTATCCCTGTTGTGGCTATGGTATTGGAATCTTGGAACATTTTTTTTTGATTGTCCTGATTCCACAGAATTTGGAGAGTTTCTGTTGGTCAATCTTTACTGTATTTGGAAAATAAATTATGTTTGTGTACTTAACAACAAACGAAATACAGAAGAAATAGAAAAAATGAGAGAGATTGTTTGATTACAAAAATCAAACCAGAATATAAAATAAATAAATAAAATAGATTTTTATTTTGTTACAAAAACAAAATCAAAATCTGAAATAGAAAAAATAAAAAAATAAATAAATTACTTAATTAATTTGTTGAACAAATTTTCTGATCAAGTCTAGTGTTTAACATTGTGTCCTTAAGACAGATTCGTCCTCTCCACAGTGCTTTCAGATTATGGACGTCTATCTCTTAGGATAAAATGATCAATAACAAACAATAGCAGCACTACAAATTGTTTGCACAACGAACACATTTTGTGTTTGCACTGTCACGACCGAAACCCGTCCCTATGGGTTTAGCACCGTAACCGGCCAGTAATCCGAGATTACCGAAGGCCTACTTAACAGTAAAATAGTAATATAGAGTACATGGGCTGGCGGAAGCCAAAACAGTAATAAAAGATGTCCAATGAGCTGTGACAGTCTGTATGCAAAAAGACTTTTCGTAACGTATTCACATTCAGAACAAGAACAGTATATACATACATCATTTACGGGCATTCAGGTTAGGGACCAAATCCCTACCATAACAGTACAGTACAAATGTCATTCAATCTATACATAACAGAGACAGATAGGGTGAATCTAAGACACCCCAAAAGCAGCCTTAGCTTGAACAGATCTGGAACCTCGACGTGAGGCACAAAGGTTGACTTGACAAAAAAAAGGCTTAGCCTAACCCTTCTAGCAACGGTCCGGTGCCTGGACACCTACATATATACATATATAAACAATGAGCTAAAGCCTAGTGAATAACATATGCGTAAAGAGGTTAAAAATGAATGTCCTTTCAGTATTGAAAACAGACATTTATCAGTATATCAGTCATTCAGTTTGTGGCTCATATTTCATGCCATAACAGTCATTCAGAAACTATAATTGTCATATGTGGTACAGTAAAACAGTATAGTAGGTCTTAACAGACCGAACAGTCAGTTGATGGCCATCATATCAGTAAACAGTAGTGGTTCCAAACATGAGAACCGATAGAGATCTCTGTAATAGTGGCAGTAACTATTCAGTAACAGTAAATTGCTATGGATGCCACGAATACAGTTCACAAATAGGACATACATTCATTCAGTAAACAGTGTCATTTCATAAAGCAGTACAGCCATTTGTTCAGAAAATAATCTCAATTGAACATATCTTTACAACATTGTTACTCACAGAGCACTGGGCTATAAGCAGCTAGAGCGTCCTCGGATGCCAACCCTACAGTTACAGAATGAACACACACTAAGCTACACAGTTGGAAAACAATAACTTAATCCCTAATTTGTCTCGGTGTGGTTCTACATCAATATCCTCATTAAGATGCCTTAAACTAGGCCTAAGAATGCCTAGGATGGAATGAGGATGCAAAAATGCACTTTAAAAACACTTTTCAAAATTTGCTGAAACAAGGGTCCCGCTCGAGCATGGGTTTCCCCGCTCGAGCGGACATGCAGACAAAAGGGCTCTGCTCGAGCGTGGATTCCCCGCTCAAGCGGACTGTAAAAGTACTGGATGCACGAAATTCACGCTCGACGGGCGCTCGACCCCCGCTCGAGGGTGAGACACAAGTCATCGCTCGAGCGTGCATTCCCCCGCTCGAGCGGACTGTAAACACATGCAAAATACTAGATACACGCATTTCCCGCTCGAGCGTCATTTTTCCTGCTCGAGCGGACTGCATGAACTCAGTGTGTACGCTCGAGCGTGGAGTTCCCCGCTCGAGCGAGAGTCCAAAATCTGGAATTTCCAAATTTGAACCTCAAGCTCAAAACCAACTTTAAAGCATCAAGATCGATCCTTTTGGGCTAATTTTCTAGAAAACATTTGTAAACTCATAATATGACATGTTTCAAAGATCAATTTGAGAAATCAAAGCCCAAAGGTAGTTCAATTGAACCCAATTTCAAAGAAGTTTTCATGAACATGAAGAACAATGCAAATTCAACACATACATGGGTTCCTAGGAACACCAATGCTACAAAACAAGATCAAATGCAATGTTTAACTACAAAACATGGTGAGTTCATGGATCAAGACCAAAAATATGAACATGCATGAAGAAATCCTCGTAAAACAACTTCAAAACTCAGCAATATGAACATGCATGCATGATACAAGCTTCGATTTAACAATCTTAACAAATTCTAGACTTTAAACTCTAAACTTCCATGAATCGTGCAATATATGACTTAATTTAACAATCAAGTAGGTGATTCTCCTACCTTATGCCTTGAATTCAAGAATGGAAGCTCAAAATGCAATCTACTCTTCAATCTTCTATGTCTTCAAGCCAAATTCTTGATGAAATCAAACTATCTCCTATCTCTCTCTCTCTATTCGGTTTATTGCTCTCAAAATGGCTGAAGAAATGTTGTATCAAAAGTGCATGAAGTGGAGAGGGGTTGGTCTAGATTAATCCACTAGATGGCAAATTTGTAGATAAGTCCAACTTTTTTAATTTATCAATAAATAACCTAATTTAATCATACCAAATCAATTTTTAATTAAATATATCATAAAATCACATTAATTCTAATTAACACAAAGCATTAATCAATTTCAGATTCGGCCATCGTTAAGGCCTTCAATTTATAGTTCGAAACTTAAAACACGAACAGATAATTCAATGACAAACAGATAGAATTATATTTAACTAACACACTCAATCAATCAGTTCAGGATTTCAGTCAATCAGTCAGTTAACATGCTTAATCATAGATTAGCACTAATCAGTGGTGAGGGTTGTCACAGTCTCCCCTTCTTACAAAGAGTTTGGTCCTCCAAACTCGAATTACCTTCATTTTGGAAGAACACTGGATCGAGAGGGAATAGTTCAAGATATCTCTTGATCATATCGTCTTCCCTTTCCTAAGTGGCATACACACCACCATGGTTTTGCCAATCAACTTTCACTAATGGAATCTCTTTGTTCCTCAACTTCTTGGTCCGTCTGTTCATAATCTGAATAGGCCGTTCTTCATAAGTATAGTCATCACTTAGCACTACACGGGTAGGCTCAATCACATGGAAAGGATCCCGGAGGTAATCCTTCAACATTGAAATATGGAACATGTTGTGCATATGCTCCATTTGAGAAGGAAGTGCTACTTGATACGCCACCGGATTAATCTTTTCAATAATCTCATATAGTCCGACATATCTCGGCGTTAGCTTACTCTTGACTCCAAAACGAGTCTGGCCCTTCATCGGTGTCACCTTTACAAAAACATGATCACCTACTTCATACTCTCTGTCTCGCCTTCGGACATCCGCATAACTTTTCTGTCGGCTTTGTGCGGTTTTCAGTCTCTATTAGATTAGTTTCACTTTTTCTGTGGTTTCCTGTACAATCTCGGGCCCAAGCAAAGGCTTATCTCCAACTTCTACCCAGCAGATAGGAGATCGACATTTCCTGCTATATAAAGCCTTGAAAGGCGCCATACCAATACTCGAGTGAAAACTGTTGTTGTAGGCAAACTCAGCCAACGGTAAATGGCTTTCCCAATTTCCTTGGAAATCAAGAACACACATTCTCAGTAAATCCTC